TTATGAAAAGGTCTCTTTTAACCCATTGTCATAATTTGAGGCCTAAAGGCATGCAGGGTAATCTGTAATTATAAATGGTCCATACGTGTGCATGTGAGAGTGTGGTTTTTTCTGTGTGGTAGCGCTGTGGGACCTGTTCATGGTGTACAGGCCTCTAACCCGTCGGCTGGGATGGGCTCCAGCCACTGAAATAAACAGGAAAAGGATGGAGGGATGGATGAGCGGAGGTTTATCTTGTACTTTTCCCTTTATTATTATATAATTAATATCACATTGATGGCCTGCCCTAAAGTTTAGTTGTTCTTTATTATCACACGCCCCCTTGTGTTTTCACTCCGTGTTTCTTTGCTTGTATCTCTGCATTTTTTTTTTTTTTTTTTTTGGTGTTCTGTGTTTGCTAGTTTATTTTTGTCACCTTTGTTGTACTTTTGTATACATACACAAAGATATATAAATACTGTATATGCATACACACTCTACTCTCCACAGTATTAAAATATGCGATGCCGACATACCTTTTTTCTTATTGTCAGCTCTGACAAGTTGTCTCCATTCCTTTTATATAACATATGACTCTCAGAATATCAGAATATGTATTTTGAGTTCATAACAAACTCCTTGTTTTAAGAAGAAAATGCTCAGGCATTGTTTGACTGTTTATTTCTATCATCATGTGTTTTAGCCTATTAAAGAAATACCATATGGCCACATTAACAAGGTTGCAATCTTGGGAGTCTCAAATGTCTTTATTTTTGAGCCATACACACCTCTCCAGAAAGCTGTCGCCTCTTCCTTAGCCAACATAAACATACATAAATATATGTAACAACAGGAGAATAACAACCGTCATATTTTTTTTTTTCTGAAAAAACTGATTCTGCTTTGTTGGCTCTGTTCCCCTATTCATGCAGGGAGAGATGCATCTGTTCAATGTGACAAGGGAGGCAGATATTACTCATGTTTCCTGTCAACATTTTGGATGGACCGCGACAACTATTCGTCTCCAGGGTTTCTAGGCATGGAGATGGCATTTGTTTTCTTCACGATCAGTTTATTAGAAATCTTCCGCTGTGGTGACTCCAGGCAGTAATATGTCTCAGTAGTTTAAAAAACAGCATTAAATGATTTCTACAATATTCTTACCCCTCACCTAACTCAGGGGGTATAAATTATGTATTTCTATTTCCCATTATACAGAACCTTTGTTTTTATGGAGGCAATGCCATTGATGCGCTGTCCTAATGGAAGAAAAAGGCCCTGTTGTTGGATCAGAACAGGTTTAATCCCCTTGACGTTGATCCTAGAATTTAACCTTGTTTGTTCGGATGGATTAGAAACTGGTGTCAGACTAAGCTGTGGCCTTTCGCTGATATGCATACAGTGGCTAAAACATATTAATCCTCTCCGACTTTCACTCAGGTTGTTTGTGTCACAACAATCATCACAATAGCCTGGTAAAGAAACCAAAAAGGGCAAACAAGCTCAAAAAGTGACTTTTTAAAACAGACCTAGTATTTCCAAATCCATACTTGTATTCTCGGACTCTACATGAGTATTTTTGCATGATTCAAACTTTAAAATAATCTTTATCTTATACTTTTGTCCGGCTGTTCAGTTTAGCCTCTGTCTGAAGCAAGCCCTCTCTCTTCAAGCTGATTGGATGTTCTTTGTAAAAGAACTGCTGTATTAATTAGTTACTTACATATACAAATCTCATTAGATGGCAATGTTTCTTCTAAAAGCATCTGCCACTGTGGACTGAAAAGTAATGCAATGCACTGCAGACCTGTTTAATATGCAGCTGTTGTATGACTCATGTAAGAATTAAAGGCTCGCCAGTTCCTACGGGTAAAAACAAGAATGGGGAACAAGAAAAGTTAGAACCGTTTAGAGTAAACGAGAACTGAGTAGTTTTGTAATAACTACTCTACTTACTCTACTACTTACCGTGTCAGTACCAGGAAACAATACTATAGTTCAGAGAAAACATATTTTCACTATTTCGTGTTCTGTTCACAACCAAGAAAAACAAAAGATCAACTTGAATCGGTGACCGCATCACAGAAAGAGGACACAGCAGAAAGAGGACACAGCATCACAGTTTCAGTTTACCAGCAAGAGTTGTTTCATTGACACAGAAAATTAAATAAATATAAAAAGCTGGAAATCTGACAAAAAAGAAACAAAAAGAAAGAAAGAAAGTCAGTCTGGGCCAGGCAGGCAATGTCCCGTAGGAATCAGAACTTCATTGAACTAATGAGGCAAGAAAATTAAACCAACAAACAAAGCAGTGAAAAAAACAGACCAAAAAGGAAAATAAATAAATAAATCCTCATAAAGAAGCCGGGGACTGGAAAACTACTCAGTCCATGAGAGAGAGACACTTTCTTTCTCCCAGTAATCATATATATGGTTACTGGGAGAAAGAGAGTGTTTCATAATATATATTATAACATAATATATATTATGTCACCCTGTGTATCTAAGAAAGAGAGAGGAAATGATTAAGGGGGGAGGAAAATGCTAAAGTAAATACTGTATGTAACACTATGATTCACAGTTAGAAAATGCTAACTACTCTGAAGCAGTACATGAATGTAACAAACATTTTTGGGGGAGAGGGGTTACTGAAAAATAAAAATAAAAAGATACTCATCAATACCAGGATGCATCTATTTAGTTTGTGTTACTCAGAATGGGTACGCACCTTCAAATAATGAGAAACTTGTCAATCATTTATGCAGTGCAGCAGTGTACTGAAATAACAATGTTATGCCAGTGGGCGCTGTTCTTTATAGTGCAATACAATGAAATCAAATGATTAATCCCCCCCACCCACCACACCACCCCATTTGCAGCTATGAGAGCTGTAAGGTTTTAAGCTTGACACAGCAGGAAACTGCCACAGTTTAGACAGCATCCTAATTGTGATGTTAATGTTCTTCCCCATATATCCAGGAGCTGATTCGTTATTTTGCTAACAGGGGAAGCCCACCAACCCCAATCCTATCAGCAAGCCAACATATGTGGATGGCAGGATGACAAGTTGGATGCATCCAACTAAAAGTCCTACTGGTAATAGTACAGTGCATGTAATATTCTAGGAACTGTAAGTACTTTATTGTTACCTTCTTACCTAATACTGTGTTGCATTCATGCAACTAAAACCTCATAACAAGACACTAAATGGAATACTTAAAAATAGTGTTTATAGTTCATATTATATATACTTATAATATCAGAATAAACCAGGGGGTCTATCTTCACATAAGGGGAGCATGCTGACAATGATATCTGAGCCATATCTGTTATATTGCGACTTGGGATACACTCTATACTTTATACTGATTAAATAAGCTCTTAGTTTATGTATATTTCCATGGTTCATTGTACATCATTTAAAGCCTCATATTGGGAACATTTACATAAGCAAAAACAGCCCATTCACCACCTTTCAGTCAGGAAATTCGATTCAAGGTTGGAGCCATTTATCAAAACAATAACAGACGTGTTGGTTTTGTAGTTTTTACTGATGCAATGCTCCAACTTACTATAACTACACTTGATTAGAAAATCCCTGAGCTTCAGATTCCTCCTGCTGACAACAACACAACATTTAGTGAACATATATTTTAATAAACGTCCAGATACTAATTTGTTACAAGTTACACACAGAGGATGATGTGAAAGTGTTGCAGGTTAAAATTGGCAAGCAGACAGTAATGAAGCATCAAGGACGAAGAGTTTCTTTATCTTGCTGTAAGTCATATTGAATGCCACTTCACAGCAGGATGCAGATATCTACAATATGTAAGTCGACAATAGTGGACAAGGCAGGATATTTGCAAGGCTTCCCCAGTTTGTATAAATTTACCTTGGGAATCATTAAAATGAACAAACTTAGAAAAAACAATACAAATTGAATGAACCCTAAGTTTATTCCTCTCGTAAATGGATACGCAGTCTATTTTTTAACAAACAAATTCAATTTACAGTGACTCAGAATTAGGAGGCTGTTTGTACTGATTTATAAAAGATAAGCAATTTGGATTCATAGATATACAATACATAAACATTTCACTATAAATGATGAACAGCACCGACTCACTCCTCAGTGTCTCTTTCTATCACTGCCTCCGGTGCCTGTAGCTATACAGCAGCTCGTATATTTGCATGTGACTGCCAAGCAAATTTTATGCGAGCTTTTCGAAATGTCAGTGGAAATAAAATGTGAATTAGGAGTATTTTCCATCACTATGTTGAAAACAAACTGGCATCCCAAATGTCAACAACGAGATCTGCAAGTACATCAGAGAGACGGAGCTGTGTGAACATGATTGTTGATACTGCTCAGTGTCACAGCTATTTCATACTTTAACCTCAAAACACAAACAAAGACACGTATACTACTATGTACACTACAGACACGTTAGACAAACTAAAACCACAACTCCTAACGAAAGCGGCAGGTGTTATTTAAACATAGAACCAGTTAGATACAAACTTTTCTATGAGAAAAACACCAATGGTTTGAATATATTTGATTTAATTGAAATTAAAAATGATACTTCTTTGTATATAGGAGATCACTGAGTGCATTTTCGCAGTTCCAGCTCGCTCTAATTCGACGCATAATTTACAAAAATGCGTTTTTGTAATAACCACGTCTTTTATCTGTCACTGCATGCTGCACCCTCTCCACATTTGCACGACATTGAATTGTGAACAATTCAGTGGATAAAAGGATGGGGAGGAAAAAAAAGAGGTCACAGACTGTCAGGAGCAGCACATAAAGAAGCAGAGAGAAATCCACATTGTTTATTGAGAAATGACAGCCAAAGCCAGGGGTGTGGTGTACAAAGAATGAAAAGTCTCATTTTCCAACACTGTTAGTCTGAAGCGGAAATGTACTGAAAAAAGAAGAGAAGAGGTAAACAAGGGCTAGGCAAGAGTAAACCAAATGTGACCAGTGAGCCAAAATAAAACTTCTATGCAGTAGATTTATGCTGTCAATTAATGTTTATTGATCCATGTACTGTCAGTATGATGTAAACAGGTGACAGATTTAACGGTGCTATATTTAAATGTGCTGTGCTCATACGCAAACACAGAAGTGTGAGGTTTAGCTTCCTTTGTTGAAATGGTAATTATTATACATTATCATAAACTGGGTCTTACAGCTTCAGCTACAGCACGCAATATATAACAGTGAAGGCTATAAGCTATAAATACATTGTAACCAACAATATCTTTATAGCTTATATTTTCTAAAATATGAGAGTTAAAAACAACCAACTACACACACAGATGATGAAACAAGTTGTAAAGAAATCAATAGCGTAGTCAAGACATATTGAGTTGGCACACTTTTATACGTATTTTTTTACACGCTGGCACAGGAAAAGAGAACCTGAGGTTTATTAAAAACCTGTTTGACTGTCGATGGCTTGTTCGACTTTTATTGGTGCCGTTACAATTTTGGATCTTATTTTAAAAAGACAGTACACTGACATTTTGTTTGCATCAAATGACTTGCATCAGCTTAAGCATAAACATCAACATCTTAATATTTCTCATTTTCATTTGCTTAAGCAATTTGCTGTATTCGTACTCGCATCTGAAGCTCTAATCCTCCGGTTTTTGGTAGCGCTCTTTAAGCTTTATGGAGATAAAAATGTTCACATACAGGATATTTTTCTTAAAGACACAGTGACATTAAAAATACATTTGTAAGGCTGTAATCCTGCTTTAACAAGTTATTTAACTTGCAACAAGTAAAATTATAATGATTGTGGAGCTTTCGACTTTGAGTCATTCAAGCATAATTCTGAATGATTTTTATTCAAACCCTCTTTCGGCTGTTGCGATCCACATATTTTAAGCCACATAGTCTACATCATGATACACAAACTAAAGATCCTCCAACCACCATTTCACTTCACTTTACAGAACATAACTTTAATCCTTTAATTCAGCCTGGAAACAGCGTCGTCCAAACTTCTCAAAACTGCAGAATCACCTTTTAGTAATTGGCTAAACGCACTACTTGGTCGTTTCTGTATTTCCCGCTGCGCCGCTCGTCTTCACACGATGTCCTCTCTCATTTCCCTTTGTGCTTGTTGAAAAGAGCGTAGAGGACTTTCAAGGTTGCAGTGGTGTCCAGAGAGACAATATCTGTCACAATATTCAGAGGAGACATGATCCACATGCAGCATCCTTAAGCCATTGAGGCGATAAGAATAAGCGGACGCTTTTTACCAGCATTAGCTAATAGCTACTCTCACAATCCATCCTAAGAGGTCATAGATCAGGAGGGCAAAAAAAACATTAGATGGAAACTTAATCAATATGTCCTTGGTGAGATAAGATCCCTACAAAATTGCTCTCTGTTGTGAGATGCTCTGACTGAATGAATGTGACAGAAAGATCGACTTCACCATTGGCTAACCTAATTAATTCACGCAGCATGCTCTCATTTTAGGCCCTGAGAGCTGGGATTCCTCATTCAGTGGCTGCAATTATGCCGTTAATTAAAAAGACACTAAAAATGAATTAAATTACCCACTCGCTCCTGGCACAGATTAATTGTGCTAGTCCTTACATTAACAGTTATCGTGTCGAGGATTTATTTTACAATTACAGGCTCTGTGGCTGGGAGGCAATATGGTGGGACAGCTTTAGCGATCTAAAGAGAGGAAGATTCAAGTTTAGAGGGAAGTTCCACCTGTCAATAGCGCATCTGCAGGGAAGTGGAGTGAATTTGATTGCCACCGATTGATTCCCACACTTAGAGGAGTCAGTAACTCACCCGGTCACCTGCTCGATTTCACTCTCCGCCTTATGGAATGATGTAGTCTATGTGACCGAAGGAAATTACCCAAACACACACATAAGCGTTGCTGGTGGCATACGATGTAGTCATACACATGAACCCACCACAGATGTATGCTTTAAACTTATAAACAAAAACGAATGCTGTAGCTTTATGACTTCCTAGAATTTGAACATTTTTATGTGTACATGTGGCCATTAGAGATCATGAGTATATGTCAAAGAAAGTAGGCATCTTGCATGCTAAATAACATAACATCCATGAGGGCTACCTACAGCAACGTCACAAGCAAACAGTGATTGGCTGTATGTGCAATTGGCGTTTGGCAAATTCTTTTTATGTGGATGGGGCTTACAACAGCAAGCCTACACCATTAAAAACAGCCCCCAAACACACAAACATGATATTTTGTTATAATAAAAAACTAACTTAAACATACAAAACCTTGATCTGGTTCTTGATCTAATATTGACAAAAATTATGTTTGTAAATATTGAATACAGTTGATTACACACTGTAAAATTCACTAAAGCTGCCATTAATCCATCTATTTTCTGCTGCTTATCTGGGTCTGGGTTGCAGTTTAAGCAGAGAAGCCCAGAGCTCCCGTCTCCCCCAGACTCCTCCTCCAACTCATCCAGATGGGGGGACACCAAGGTGTTCCCATGCTGCCTAAGAGATGTAATGCCTTCGGCTTGCCCTAGCTTCGCTCTGAGGCCTTTTCCTGATAGGATATGCCTGAACCACCTTGATTAGTTGGCCCTTCGGATACCCAAACCATTTCAACTGTCTCTTTTCCATGTGAAATATTAGCAGCAGTCTTCACTAAGACAGATAACACAAATTCATTCAGATAAACACCCGCACATTGATATAGCCTAGTAACAGTAAGGATCAATCTCTGTGTTTAATCATCTATAGTGATACTCATCATGACACGAGCGGCACTCATTCATATTCAGCACGCTATTCCATCTCCCTCTCCAAAACACTCTCAAACTCTCACTCCACGGTGTAGAGCACATTAATTCAGCAATCCCCTTCCTTGCATGACATACAAACACATTTTAGCATTTTTTCCGTCATCCAGATAAATTCTCCTGATAAAGGGCATCATCACTGAATTAGTTTGACATCGGTGTCTTGGAGCGCTGTAGGATTTCATTTTTTTATGGTAACGATCACTTTATCTGCAGGCCTTTTTTCTTCTTCATCATCTGTGCCTGGCATTTCAATCTCAGTAAAACAGTCATGAACAAGTTCTGAGTGTGTTATGTGTGAACAAAGTGGATTTGTCTCACCTTGTGGGTCAACATTGGAGAGCTGAAAGCCTGTATCCTTCAAGAGGTCCAAGGCCAAGGTGACATTATGAAGCTAGAATTTTTTGAAAAAACAACAAAAACAATTTCAAATGAGAAAATATATAAAATTTAGCTATGAACCACACTTATTGTAAGACTATATCATATACAACAAAAGCTATTCTATATTCTCAGCTATATTGGTAAAAACTCTGTAACAACAGTAGAGATATTTATTGAATAAACTGTACTTTAGTGCTGAACTTACAACTATGAAGTGCTTTAACTTTAAATTTGAAGATTTCCATTTTACAATACTTGTATATTTTATTCCACTATGATAATATACTACAAGCCTTTTGTACTCTGGTGCTTTTATCGCATAGTAATAGCTATAGCTACTAATTACTTTTAAAATCATACATCTATTTTCTTAAATGCTTTCCCAACTAGGGCCATGGGAGGGCTGGAGCCTGTCCCAGCTAACATCTGGCAAACACACAGTATGCCCTGGAGTATTATACAACCCTGGAAATGTTAGTGGTCTATCACAAGACCAGCACAGAGAAACAGACAACCATTCACACCAACTACAGCTAATTCAGAATCACCAAATAACCTGACATTTATGTCTTTAAACATACCTAGGAGCAAACTGAAGGAAACCCACGGAGGCACAGGGACAACAACAACAACAACAACTTTTATTATGGGGACCGTATAATATTCATTTGATCATATCATATCTTTTAATGGCCACTGTTCTGGATCATGTTTTAGTACTGTATCCAAGTGATCGGCTGGGAATTAGATTAGATTACTTCAAATCAGATGATCAGATGAAAAAGTGTACTTCATTCCTAACACTTGTGAACTGAATAAAGGAATTTGTGTGAATGCGTACACTGCACCAAAAATAAAATACGTTTGAACAAAATTTTGAGTAAATAAAGCTTTGAATGTGGCATGAATCCATATATGTGAATCTATACTTTACCATCTCAGAGTCACTGACAGGGGTCAGGTTGAAGTCAAAGAGCGGGATGAAAAAACCCTCCAACTGTCCGATCAGCAGCAGCAGAATCACACCATCAGCAAACTGGACAGCAAACCCACAGAGCATTGGAACATTGAAAGTGATAAGGGAAGTAATCACTGGGTCTATTTTTATCAAAAGAAAGCCTGTAAGCAGTAGAAGGTTTCCAGCTGTTGGTGTATACCTGTTTGTCCATATCTATCACCTGCAGACCCAGAGATGATATATGCTGGTTGACAAAGTGTACCAGGGCCTACAACAGAGAAATTATAAATCTGTGCAGTTTGAAATGCAACTTGACAATTTAGGGTATCTTCATCAAAACCCAAAGCATTAGTTGGAAAGGTTAATATATCAGACTCTTAAAGTAAGACATCTAAACTTGTCCATTCTGCACCTCGTGTAGCTCACTCGAAATCAAGGAAAGTATTAGTCAGCCAGCAAAAAACGACTGCACTTTTAAAATATGAGATTTTTTTTGTCTCTTTCTCTCTGTGAGCTGCTTTGTGTCAGCCTATAGCTCATTTCAGACTTTGTTGTCCTGTATTTCAAGTGTTCTCACAACTCTTGCATTTAGTTTGTGTTCAGGCATTTAGTTATCTATCTTAGTCAAATATTGGAACTTCTGGCTCCAAAATCCTAAAATTGAGTCTTCAAAACAGGATTTCACTAACCCATGAGTGTTGTCATGGTGGCTACTTCCATTTTTTACATGCAGTCTGTGAAAATTATTTGATTTTTTTTTTTTAAAGATCATGCTCAACAGTATTTGAAAATCATCTTTTGCAAGAAGGCCAAAAAGCCTTAGAAGCACATTAGATTAAGATTGAAATCTAATGTGAAAGTCCCGTCCTTCACCAGCCAGCTCTGTTCATCTGCCATGTATTGAAGGTTCAGATCAGGCAACAAACACACAGCGTGACATTTATCATTTGTGTTAACACCACTGGAGTTCCTCTCTCTCTCTAGAGATGAGAAAGTCAACACCTTTAAAAAATCTCGGCACTTCTTTACTTTTTCTGGTGTCCTTGTTATACCTTTTTCACTGTGTTGACCTTGTGAGCCTCAAGCTTCAGCAGTTGCTCGATGGGATCTTCCCCTGGGTGACCAGACAGCCAAAAAAAATGTGTTAGTAGGCTGTAATGCTTTTTGGATGACATTCAAGATGTCACATCAGCTCAACCTCTGACCACTCTCACTCACTTTCAGTATTGCTGAGGGAGTCTGTGTCGCTGCTGAAAAGGCAAAAAGGATTTATATATATATATATGAGGTGAGTTTTTCTTCACATTTACAGGATCACACGAGGCAGTAAGCACCTCACCTTCCCTCTGTTAAGATTTCCACTTGCACATCTGATTTGATTCCACTTTTGCTGACCTGGGTGTACAGCACACCACAATGAGCAACAATTACACAAAGTGTGTTTGAAACCATCCTGGAGCAAAAGAAAAAGTGCCAAAGTTTGACAAGAACAACTTACTTCTACGACTACAACTTCAATCTTCACATCAGACGGCAAATCCAATTCAGGCTGGAAACATCTCACCATGGCAACAAGCAGATGAAGGGTGGCCAGAAGGTCCTTGTTGTGGATGACTGACAGGTAAACAGCAGAGGACCAGACACACACAAAAGAAAAATCGGCCGATGTGATCAAACTCTCTGCTAAGTATGCACACAAAGCAGGGCACGAGTGTCTTTGATAAATAAGAAACTGAAACTTGGCTCCATAACCTACTTACCATTGAGTACTCACCAGCAGCTATTTTCATTATCAATCCAGTTTTCAGCAAATCTAAACAATAGCATTTAGTTTTATCTATTTATGTTTTCACTCTGTAAGTAAAGCTTTCTCCACAGCTAATGATCGGAGCGCTCCCATTAAGAACAACTCCATGGTGACCCTGTTAGACAATATTACCATATTATATTGACCTTCTTGGTAATATATTATCCTTATTATTACTCCTGTTGCCTAACATTAAAAGCCTTCAACTGGTGATGCATCTACAGCCCTATTTTTTAGATTTTTAAAAAAAAATAAGAGCAACAAGCTGCAAATCCCATAAATTGATATTTTATTCAGAATAAATCCGATGTTTAACATGAGACAATTTACTCTTTTATGAAAACTGTTAGCTCAGCTGCTGCCATCAAATTCAAAATGACCTTATTTTTTCTTAACATTTTCTCAGTTCATCAAATCATTGGATTCGGTTTTTATTTACATTTTACACTGTACACTAACTTTGTTTGAATTGGGGTTGTACTACAGAACAAGACATGGTCATTTTAGGGACCTTTTTTGCTTGCAGATGAGAAATTAAAAAGGCAGGAAGGTGGTTCCACAACTCCAGATCGTAAGCAATGCCATTGTGCTTGTGACCATATTTTGATTCAGTATTGTTATCTCTAGAATAAACCTGCACACTGCTGACAGCAGTAGGCATGATTATCACCAAATCATGTTAACCTTTTAATTAGCATTCGCACAGATTAGTCTTTTTTGATACGTTTCCCTGTCTTCTATTTGGATTCACCCTGAACAAAACGCAAAGGAAGGCAATGAAAAAAGTGAAATAATTGTAGTCAAGAATCTGACAGCTGCCCTGCCAGGTTATGTTGTGTCAGCCCAAGAAAGAAAATTTTAGGTAAAGTGTTTATAAGTCTATAAGTTATTTCTCTGCATAATCAAGCAACCAGCACTGACATGTGATTAAAATGAAACCCTATAATGTCAGGAAATTTTATCTCCACCAAAATCCTGCGCAGTTGGTATAAGCTTACATGGTACCCTTGTGATAGCACCAAATCCTGTTGAAATGAGAGGGTTGCCAGAAGAGAACATTTGTTGACTTGTTGCTTTGTTTGCGAAGCCCAGTCAGCAGCATGACTCACGTTTGACGTTCCATTTGATCTGACTGCTGTCCTGCGTACCCAGTCTCTTGTCCAGCTCCTCCATGATTATTTCCAGCTTGCGGATCTGAGCTGTGCTGGTCAGCGCTATCTCTTCCACATTCAAATGCACGTCGGCCAACCTGGCTGAAGAAATCAAGAAACAACCGAGTATCATTATAGGGTCTGACTGACAACAACCTCCAGCTTTTTAACATAATATCTGTTTGTTTTTCATCCTCTCAGTCAAATCACTATCAAACGGAAGTAAGTATGATAAATGAAATATCAAATATTCATTATCTCACACAGCAGGTGATGAAGTACCAGTCCATCATACACATCTTCCTCCAGACTCTGAACAACGATGTGCTCGGGTTTCAAAGTCTTATTGATCCAATCAACCAGTGCCTACCGAGATATAATTCATCACACGGTCAGAGAAATTATCCGCTTTAATCGTCTTGCATACGTTTTTCCTTTGCCAGTGTTGTAGATGAAGAAGAAAAAACAGCAAGAGACCCTGTTTTTAAAGATTGTGTTTTTGGATCCCGAAACAGATGACAATAATAATGCAAGATACAAGTACTCATCTAAAAAAAAAAAGCTTATATTTCACTTGTTTTCCTCTGAAGTTTACATATAAGACGTCATAATTATTTAAATTTTTCATTTGTGTGAAACATTAGCGCTGCCCTCTTTACAACAATGTTTAAAATTCTGATCCAGCAGACTCTGCTGGCTCCTCGCCGTGACATCTGTCTCCCATCTTCTCTTATAATTATGCTCATTAAAATTTCACCCATCCTCACACCTTATTCCTGTATGCAGCCCACTAAAGACACAAAGGTAATCTCAGATCTGCGGCTGTCCAGGACGGGCGTTTGATGTTACAGTAAATGTGAAATAGAAGAAAGCGAATCCGACATGTGCAAGGCAGGGATTCATTTCTTACCTCCTTCAGCTTTTCAAGTTTGGGGTCTTTTAAAGATGTTGGTTGTATGAGTTTCCTCTTCTCCCCTGTAATGGACATGAAAACAAAACTGCGCTAGTCTCTTACGTCACCCAAAGTGCATCTGATAGCTCTCTTTAGAATTTCTGCTTTGAATATTTCAGTGATAGGTTTTACATGTTTTGGCAGTACCCCTATGTTTGCTGCTTATTCACATATACATATACTTTGAGGTTGGCCATTTTCAAATGCATTCCCTTCATACATCCAGCCCTCCCGAGCAACATAGAAATCAGCAGAGCCCGCAAAGCTGTTTCGGTTAGTCTAATCTATCTCGGCAGAACTTCTAACTTGGCAATATAATTAAGCTGCGTGAATCATAATTTTATGTGGAGTATGGATCAAAGAATTATCCGAAATCTATTGCTTTACTTAGAAAGACAAGCCCACTCCAACTCTGCTGTATGGAGCGTCTTGCATCTTTATGCAATGCTTTTGAATTGTGGCCAATTTCAGCTCCCAACAGAACTGCTTTCTCGATGATGTCGGTGTTTTATAAACCCATCATTCGGTACACAAAAACTTTGATACTAGCCGGGGAACATAGTGGAGGATTCAGCAAATTAAAAACCAGATATTCACCGCAGGAGGTGGCAGAGACCAGAGCACACCAGATTTCACATGAAAGAGAATACTGGACCTAAACTCATTTCCTCCATGTCTGCTAAATGTGTAAATGAGCAACTATCACCTTTCAAGTTCACAACATCAGTGCCCCAAATGATCCGAAGGTCATGTCCTGCAGGTTTAAATGATTACAGATAGACTGGACACGTCTATATTCATTATCCCTATTATATAATATTGGCGAAAGTCTAATAGAAATGCACAAGGCAGACACGATTTTCAATATGAGGTCACTGGGATGATCTTTTACATGTGCCACATGAATCACTGATGACTAAGATTGACAAAAGTAAATGCAAACATACCCTGAAAAGACTCAAGTTCCACAGGCTCTTCTTCTTTCTGATAATTAAAGATGTTCTCCTCCATCATTCCTCTGCAATGTGATATCTTCACCTCTGCTGACCTGTCAACACATTTACATAAAATTACAACTACAGGAATTTTTTTAACAATTTTTTTAAATTGTTACCACAAGCTTCCATTGGATGTGGATCAAAAAAAAAAAAAAAATTCTGCATGCAAACAAGAGGCAAACCAGACATTTTTATGCATGGGCCCAGAAGAACAGAAGTGCTGTAAACTCCATTGTTCCATCTACAATTCAAATTTTGAAAAGATTTCCATGCAAAATAAATTAGTTTGGACTCATTTGAACAGAGGTGATGTCTTGTGGTGTACTAATGAAAAACTGTACATTTTTTTTTAGACATGAATACAACATCTGGATTAAAGGGAACATGAACCGTTCATGTAAACAGCAAACAGCAAACTTGCAAACTTTGAGAAGGGTTTATTAATGCTAAGGTACAGAGTTTCATTGTTGCAATCCAGATGTCCTTTTCAAGAAGACCCTGCTTATTTTGGCTAGACAAAGTCAAACCACACTCTGCACAACAGCATGACTCCTTATTAAAATCGTCCAGATGGTAAAATCACCTTCCTCTAGTCAGAATAGTCAACTATTGAAAATATCGGGACCGGTCAATTTCCTTCTTTGATGTAAAATACAAAGAGGAAGATAATAATTCTATTTCAAGCAAGAACAGAAAAACATTTTACTTTCAATCAGTTGGTCTTAAGACTTACCACATGCTTGGAGTGTTATTAAAAGACACCCAGCAGGAAACAAAGCCCTAACATAACCTCTTCCAAAGCATGTTGCTGGCTTCAAATTCAAAATGTGCATCTCTATTTTTAAACACTTCGCAGTTTTACCATTTGTCTTTGCACCCCAAAGGCAAGGTTTAAAGGATGTGCAAATCACTGGATTCTGCTTTCATCACAATACACAATTTGTACACAATTTGTTCCAACTTTCTCAGGGGTAAAAGTGGGTTGTAAAGCACAGAAGAATGAAGAAACACTTTCTCCATGAATATGTTTGGCAGAAAATACTCTCAGTGGTGCCTCAGTAGGGTGTCCGGAGCCATACTGCTCAGTTTTCAGCTGGTTTTGAGGACTGACCAGCAGTGAAAAATGCCGGCTGTGATGGCAGACAGCTTACCTTTGAGAGGAAATCTTGTATCTCAGAATTGTTGCTTTCAAAGTACAAAAAAAAAAGCAGCCTTGTGCTCAGCTCAGCCACACAGAACCTCTAATGCAGGTATATTACTCTGACTGAAGGTGTTACACGTTTCTAAAAACACAGAGAAACACAGAATCTGATCTGGTTTAGAATCGATCTGTTCCAAAAACACGTATTACCAAAACAGGAAGCCACTTAACTTCCTCACTTCTTTTTTTCCCTTTTCTTTTTTTTCTCAACGGCAAACTCATCAGATCAAGAACTTCAGGTCCCTGCAGAGTTACAGGAGCTGGTCTTGTTTCTGTGAACATTTTGAATCATATGGCCTGAAACAAAGCACAGCAAACACATAAAGCAACACTCTCTGACAAAACAGACGTGACCTGGAGCTTGTCAAACGGTTGTTTCCTGGATCTGTGGAACAGAAACGCCTCGGTGAGCAACTTCTCTTTCTCTGGGTGTTTAGATTGTGTGTGGCTTCCTTTTCCTGAGGTTGACAGTAACTTTCAAACAAGGTCATAAACAAAAAGTCTTTTTGAATAAGCTTACCTTCAGCACTCTGGGAGAGACTCGGCAGAATTGAGTTCCTTAGCTGATGTCAACTCCACAAACTGTCAAAACAGCGATATATCAGAAGTGGAGGGCTGCACTCAATCTGAAAAGACTCTTGTTATTTCTATCAATGCAAAGGTCTGACTGTACTCAATTTCAAACTGTTGGCTTGAAAGAAAATAACATGTCACAGGGTTGAAAAGGAAGATAAGCGCATGAGAGGATGTGGCACAGAAGAAGATAGCACTTCCTCTTTTTGATATTGGCTTCGACGCTGAGCGTTTTCTGATAGGGGCGTTTATGCTCTGTGACACGAACCCTGGATAAGACTTTAATAATAAGTAGTGAGCGAACAAGAACAGGGAAGACTCTTGGGTATAAGTGTATTGTTTTGAAAAATACACTTCAGGAGGGCCGTGAGAAGCGTGACACTCAGAGGCCTGAACCACTCAGGCTCAGCTCACACATCTCCATCTGTGACCACCCAGATCAATTTGCCGTCATCTGGTCTCCATCCTTCTCGGTTACACAACAAACACATTAAAAGGAAAAGAAAAAGAAAAGCAAAGATAGACAACAAAACACCGACCTCTGTCTGTGCACTGGCCTTGTTGAAGAAAAGAAAAAGGACCACCCATCAGTCAGACGAGGGGCAATTTAGGGGATGTGGAAGGTTACCATAGCAACAAAGGAACGAGACAAGAAAATAAAGGCCTAAAATAAACCTATAATTCCTTTAGCTAAACCCAAATTGAAGGAACTGTCTGTTCAAAAGCCAATCTCGCTCAGAAAGCCAAAGCAAATTTAACCTATCTCACAAGCAATTGATAAAATAAAATTCCCCATTCTGCTTGATTCCACACATTTATTTTTCTGATAGCCTAGATTAAACAGGAAAAAAAATTCAGACACACACTGGTGAACCAGCCAGTGTTAACTCGGTCTGAATTGACTCATCCATTCTCTCAATAATTCAAACCGGCTCTAAAATGCATGAGCAGTCGTGCACTGTACATCTTAGCAGGTCTTGAGGTGTCACCGCAGGGCCAGCTCTGCTTCAGGAGACCAGTAATAGGTCCGGGTCTCCTTGGAGAGCTGTCTGAAAGGCTGTTCAATATAAAGACACTCTGACTCGGACTCCCCTGGGACGGCAAGAACACACTGCACTCAAGGCAGGAAGCAACAGCATGAACTTTTAAATATGATTTAAAATATGCGTACTACGCATAGTTCAGAGAAAACATGCTATTAAAGAGTATAGTATAGGAATAACATGGAACAAATTAATAATGTACAGTAAATAGAAGTAAAAAGAAAGTAAACCATTCTTCAACTTTAAGATTTTATGTATCAGGACTTTTTGTTAATAGATTGTTCTACATCAGGTCTTAAAATTGTTTAATTACAGCCTTGGATTAACAACAGCATGACACACCTTACCTTATCATTATTTATGTAGCAAAAAAAACAAGTCAAAACACAAAAGCAGTGTGTGAAAAAGTACACCCTTACTGTTTCAAAAGCAATTAAGAAGGTAAGTAGGCAGCCAGGTGCTGCCAATCAATGCACAAGAAAAACTGTGAGCACAAAAGAAGAGATTTTGGTAGTTTGTAGATTTGGAGTATTCAGGTATGTTATTACAATGCCACAGGGGGAAAGACATCAGCAGTGATTGTAAAGAAACAACTCTTGCCAATTTCCAAACAATTTGTAGTCAATCATTTTATACTAAAAAATTCTTCACAAGTAGAAAACATTCACAGCACTTACCAATCTTCCCAGTAGTGGGCACCCCAGAAAATTCACAACAAGGTCAGATCATACAGGGCTCGGGGAAATTGCAAAAGAAAAATAAAATGCTAGAGCTTTGCAAAGTTGCATTCAAACAAACCACAAGCCATCTGGTACAATATCTTTTGGACAAATAAGACCAAAGTGGAGATGAAATAAAAGCATATCAGTATAAAGACTTCATACCAACTATTAAGCACAGTGGTAGAGGGTTAATGATTTGGGCCTGTTTTGCAGCCAGCCATGAACTCCTCTGTGTACCAGAGTATTCTAGAGTCAAATGGTAAGGCCATCTGTCTGATAGTCAAAGCTTGACCTAAAGTGGTTGATGCAACAGGACAATGATACCAAAAAGAGCAGCAAATCTACAACAGAATGGCTGAAAAAAGAAAAAAGAAATCAAACCAAATCAAACTGCAATGCCTGCAAACCTCAATGAACTGAAGCAGCATTTTAGAGTTTGCAGAAGTAGAAGAGTGGGATAAAATTCCTCCAAAATGACATACGATTAGTTCTTACTTTTTCACACACTGTTTCTGGATTTAGGCCTAGCTTTGTTAAACAAATACTAGTAAATGGACTTATACTTATATGGTGCTTTTCTATTCTATTTGAGCACTCGAAGCAGTCTGTTTGACACACACACACACACACACATTAAGACAAGTTGTTTTCTATGTGAAGCAAAGAACCTTTAACTTAACACTCACAGTCTTTCATTCCAGTGAATTGGTTGGGGGCAACTTGGGATTCAGCATCTTGCCTCAGGATATTCAACATGCTGCTCTCAACTGTTTCCTTGTTTCAGTCTGAGTGAAGGTAAGCTAAATGACTGCATGCATAAAGAAGAGTTGCAAAGATCTTGAATTCTTAGAATTTTAATAGGCTTTAATGTGTTTTCAAATTGATTAAACACTGGAAGCAGTATAACGCAGTACATACATCATCCAAAAGCAAAGGCAAAATTATTCAGTACTTAGTTAAAACTTTGTTAGGGTGTCACTTACTTGTAACTGATAAGGTTTCAGTGTCTCCTGGCTCTCAGGCACATCCATGGCTCCCTCATGGCAACAGCTAGAACACCAAACTCAAGGCTTTAAAACGACAGGCCACAAACCAGCTGCTGACACCAAGATAGCTGCTTTCACCTCCTGCCATCCTTTTGTGGCTTTTAAATGTATTTATTCATTAATCCATTTTCTTAATTCCATATTCAATTCAGAGTTGCAAGGGGCAGGAGCCTCTCCAACAACCCTGGATGGGTTGCCAATCTGTTCCAGGGCTAACACATAAAGACAGACAACTGTTCACACTCACATTCACACCTATGCCCAATTTAGAATCACCAATTAAGATAACCCCATGCATGTCTTTGGAGTGTGGGAGGAAGCTGGAGTACCAGGCGGACACACAAAGAAAGGTCCAGTTGGATTCAAACAATTTGAGCTATTTAATTGTACAGTTTTATCATCTACAGACTGCAAATATTCAAAACAAAATATAATTTATATATAATTACAGTATGCTGTATTGTTTAATGGCAAATTTTTATTTGTACTTTACATAAGAACAGATAATGGATTATATAAAGGTCATTCAAAGGCACCATGGATGTATTTTCTTCATTTTTAGGTAATTTTCTCCGTTTCGGTGAATTTTATTATAGGGGTGTTCTATATTTAGCCTCAAATGACAATTTGTTGTCAACTTGAAACCTCACAGACCAAACTTTCCACATAAAACAGTTAGGTTAAACAGAAAATGTGTACTTTTTCTGGCTTTCATGGACACGAAAATTTCCGATATAGTCATCAAATTCTTTTTAAAGAAAATAGCTAATGATTACATTCATATTTATGAAAAGCATTCTGAGACACTTGATAATTTATTACAGGATTTTATAATTTTTTATAATAATCTATGATGGAGCATATTGAGTTCAGTATGACACACAAACGTTTTCCAGTTTTAACATTTCCCCGTCATTGCTACGTATTCAAATGCAGGGCTAAAGGTTGCAGAGTTTCCTGGGTTGCAGTTAACATTCGAGGAGGGAAAAATAAATACTGACATTTGGGGAAGATTAAATACTAGCGTTCAGAGCCTTTTTCTGGCTAGATCCCCTGGGGCTTTTTAAGTCCCACATAATGATGACTTTCAGTCCCAGTTGGTCTCCTACAGTGTCCAGACTGTAATGTATAATATCAGTGCAGGCACAGGGCAGTGTTCAGAGTAATGCCAGGCGTTAAAGACGGGAAAAGCTCATGCAGAGGTTTTGTAGTTGGTGAATAGATTGTAAAGGACTCTGAGGGTGGACTTCAGGTTCAGGTTGACAACATCTAGAAAAGAAAAAGCAGAGATTATTGAAGTCTGGTGTCCCCGAACTGGTTTGGGGGAAAAAACGATTGCCTTGTCTTGGCATGTTCGATAATTATCTTAATAAGAAAAATTGGATGGCTGGAATACTGAAGAACAAAATAAATAGCTATGCTACCATAAAATCATATTTAACATGAAAAGGAGCCAGTTCTATCATTGCTGTTAGACTGTTTCCCTCAAAAGGTTATTTGTAATTTTGGAAACTAAATGGTGCTTAAAATATCTCCCAAAACTTTTCAAATTATCCTTAGATGATGAATTACTTCTTACAAAGAGATTCAAAGGCACAAAAGGACTTTCTGTTCTCTCTGCAAGCATCACGAGTTCTACATAAGAGCTTATTTGATTATTAGAATTTACCAAACAAGCCTGCCTTAACAGAAACTGAACATTCAGCTTTCCCTGTTTGGGGCCTCCTCTCTTGTTTACAATGAACCCACAGATGTGGAAACGACAACCTTTACACTGATCAGAGCATTTATACTGCATGCTGTGCGCAGTGCAGTAAATGCTTAAATGAAGCGTGTTATATGTATGCCTCTAAACACAGATATCAAGGGTTTTTTTGCTCAACTGTGTCTTTCAATATCTACATTAACCTGTCACTTCATTAGGTACACCTTGCTAGCACTGTGTTGAACTCCTTTGGCCTTTAGAACGGCCTTAATTATTAATGCCATAGATCCAACGCAGTGCCAGAACATTCATTAGAGATCAGAGATTGGTCCATATTGACATGATAGCATCACACAGCTGCTTCAGGTTTTGCCAGCTACACATCCATGATGTCAGTCACCTGTTCCACCACATTGCAAAGGTGCACAGATCGAGACTGTGGAGGTCATTTGAGTTCATTGAACTCATTGTCACTTTGAGATGATCTGAGCTTTGTGACATGGTGCGTTATCCTGCTAGAGGCACTCATGAGAAGAAGGGTAGACATTGGTCATAACGTGATAGACATGCTCAACAACAACACTCAGGGAAGCTGTGGTATTTATGCTTTAATGCTGTTTA